GTGGCATGCAGATGTGGCGGTAAAGATCCTGAAGGTGATAGACCTAACCCCAGAGCAGTTCCAGGCCTGCAGGAACGAGGTGGCGGTGCTTCGCAAAATGAGGCATGTGAACATTCTGCTCTTCATGGGGTACATGACAAGGACAACTTGGCTATTGTGACGCAATGGTGTGAGGGCAGCAGCCTCTATAAACACCTGCATGTCCAGGAGACCAAGTTCCAGATGTTCCAGCTGATTGACATGGCCCGGCCAACCGCTCAGGGCATGGACTACTTACATACGAAGAACATCATCCACCGAGACATTAAATCCAACAATGTATTTCTCCATGAAGGCCTAACAGTGAAAATTGGCGATTTTGTTTTGGCAACAGCGAAGTCCCGCTGGAGTGGCTCTCAGCAGGTGGAGCAGCCCACTGGCTCTGTCCTGTGGATGGCCCCAGAGGTGATTCGAATGCAGGACAACAACCCATTCAGCTTTCAGTCTGACATTTACTCCTACAGCATCGAGCTGTATGAGCTGATGATGGGGGAGTTCCCCTACTCCCACATCAACAACCGTGACCAGATCATCTTCATGGTGGGCTGAGGCTATGCCTCGCCAGACTTCAGCAAGCTGTACAAGAACTGCCCCAAGGCCATGAAGTGGCTGGTGGCAGACTGTGTGAAGAAGGTGAAGGAAGAGTGGCTGCTCTTCCCCCAGATCCTATCTTCCATTGAACTGCTCCAGCACTCTCTGCCCAAGATCAACCAGAGCGCATCTGAGCCGTCTCTGCACCGGGCAGTGCACACGGAAGACATCAATGCATGCAAGCTGACCACATCCCCGTGGCTGCCTGTCTTCTAGCTGGCTCTGTACCCGGGGAGGGAGGGAGTCAGAAGCTGCTAAGGACCTTCTAGACCATACACAGAGCCTTACTTCACTTTGCCTTCTTCTCTACCCACATAGCCCCGGGAGAAAGCCAGTCACTACCCTGATGCCTCGTCCCTGTGGGCCCAGCCTTCTCCAGGTGCACACAGATCTCATGCAATACCATGCTGGGCCCTGGCTGGCAGCAAGAGGCAGGAGTGTTTTGGGGGAGAGAAAGGTGGTGGACAGCCTGGCCCTGGTGCAGGGATACATGGTGTTTTGGAAATCAGCTTTTTCACCTCTCGGACAGTGGTGCAGCACCAGTTTTGCACATAATGCACCAAACAGCCAGGACTGCTGGGATCCCGGATGTGGAGAGTCTGCTTTGGTACTATGGAACTTGACTGTGGGGATGTGTCCCCATGTCCCATCTGCCCTCCATGGGAGCAGCCCCCTCATGCCGAATCTGTCTTCCAGGAGCTGCCCCAGGGTGAGTGCTGGCCAGCCCTGTCCCTAGTCAGCCTCAGCGTCATGTATGCAAGGAAGCCAGGACCCAGGTTTTCTTGATGATTTGGGTTTTAATTTTGTTTTTATTGCACCTGAAAAGATACAAGTTATCTGATTGTTCCTCAATTATGTTATTTTAATAAAATAAATCTAAAAAAAGAATAGAAATAGCAAATAAATATATGAAAAAATGTTCAACATCAATGATCATTTGAGAGATGCAAATGAAAAGAACGATGAGATTCCACCTCACTCCAGAAAGAATGGCTGCTATCATGAAATTAACCAATAACAAACGCTGGTGGGGCTGTGGGGAAAGAGGAACCCTGCTCCACTGCTGGTGGGAGTGTAGACTGGTGCAAGCACTGTGGAAATCAGTATGGAGATACCTCAAAGAACTAGGACTGGAAGTTCCATTTGACCCCGCTATTCCCCTGCTAGCTATCTTCCCCAAAGAATAAAAAGAGTTATACCATGGTGATATATGTACACCCAGGTTCATAGCAGCACACTTTGTAATAACTAAAATTTGGAAGCAGCCCAATGCCCATCAATTGGAGACTGGATAAAGAAAATGTGGGTTTTTTTATAAAATGGAGTACTACTCAGCCATAAAAAATAAGAAATTAGAGACATTTATAGCTAAATAGATGCACATTGAGGCGATACTCTTATGTGAAATAAACAGGACACACGTGTAAATACCAAATAGTTTCTCTAGTGTGAGAAACTGAAAGTGTAAATAAGGACTAAAATGTATAATAGGTAATGTGAAATAGGAAGAAAAGGGGCAAAGGGGAAGGGGAAGTGGGAGGGGTAGGGGAAAGGAAAGAAGGGAATGGAATTAATATGAGAAAATGGAAAAATGGAAACAAAGTCTTTGTAAATAGAGAGGGATGGAGGGGTTGAAGGGAGGGCAGGGTAAGGGGGAAAAATAAGGACCAAGAAAGATTATGTAAAGGTGCAAATTTCCAATGATGAATGTCATTATACTGTATACCTAAAATGTACCAGTAAAATAAAATTTAAAAAAAACCCAATAGCATTCCTATACAGTAGTAATGAACTCACTGAATAAACCAATTAGGAAAATAATACTAGTCACAATAGCATCAAAAATGTTAAATACTTGGGGAACCTAAGGAAGTGAAAGAACTCTAGGATGAAAATTACATCAGACTGAAAAAGGAAATTGATGGGAACATGAAAAAATGGAAAGGTATCCCCTGTTCCTGGTTAGGCAGAACCAACAAAATCAAAATGGCTATACTTCCAAAACTGATACACAGATTTAACATAATCCCAATGTCGTTTCTCACGGAGCTAGTGAAAATACTCCCAAATTTTATATGGAATCAGAAGAGACTCAGAATAGCAAAAGTAATCCCAGGTGACAAAAAAGAAAGCAGGTAGCATCACAATCCCAGATTTGAATTTATATTATAAAGCTACAGTGATTAAAATAGCATGATACTGGCACAAAAACAGGCGGATGGATGAATGGAACAGAATAGAAGAAGCAGAAACAACTCAGGAACATACCCTTATTTGATCTTTGACAAAGGAGCTGAAAATATGCACCAGAGAACAGATAGCTCCTTAATAAATGGTGCTGGGAAAATTGGATATCCACATGCAGAAAATTGAGTCTAGATCCATATACCATGTCTCATGTACTAAACTGAAATCAAAATGGATCAAAGATCTAAATGGTAAAGCAGAAACACTTAATCTACTGTAAAAGAAAATAGGTATAACTCTTGAAGACATAGGTGTAGGCAAGGACTTTCTGAACAGAACCCCAATGGCACAAGAAACAAAAACAAGAATCAACAAGTAGGATCATATCAAATTAAAAAGCTTTGCACAGCAAATGAAACAAAACAGAGTGAAGAGACAATCTACAGAATGGGAAAAATTTTTTTGCCAGCTATTCCTGGCAGAGGACTAACATTAAGAATATATAAAGGACTAAAAAATATCAGACCTCTAAAACAACCCAAATGCTCATCAACCAATGAATAAAGAAGATCTCGGTTTTTTCTATACAATGGAGTACTACTCTGCCATAAAGCAGTATGAGTTTGAGAATTTCTAGCTAAATAGATGCACCTTGAGACCATCCTCTTAATTTCTTTTCTTTCTTTCTTTCTTTTGGTACCAGGGATAGAACTTGGGACCTTGCGTTTGCAAGGCAGGAGGGCGGAACCACTGAGCTAAATCCTCAGCCCCTAAAACCATACTCTTAAGTGAAATCAATCAGACCCACATGTTTAAATACCACATTGTTTCTCTGGTGTGAGAAACCGTAAGTGGAAATAAGGGCTAAAATGTATAATAGATATAAGTAAATGATTAGAAGATGTTCAAAGGGAAGGGGGACAAGGGGAGGGGAGGAGGAAAAAGAGCACAAAGAAAAGTGAAAATAGAAGAAAAGAATGGAAACAAAGGTCTTGTATATAGGGAGGTGCGAAGAGGTCGAGGGGAGGGGAAGGGGCAGGATATGTCACGTACAGGTGCAAATTCCCTATGATGGACGCTATCATCATGTATATCTAAAATGTAGCCATAAATGTTTTGCTTCAAAAAAAATGAAACCTCCAAAATAAGACTCAATCAAAAAATGGGCAACTGAAATGAATAGACACTTCCCAGAAGAGAGACAAATGGCCAATAAATAAATGAAAAAAATGCTCATCACTGGCCATCAGAGAAATGCAGATTAAAACTACACCAAGATACCATCTGATTCCAGAAAAATGGTCATCATCAAAAACTCTCATACCAGTAATAACAAATGGTAGTGAGAATGTGGGGAAAAAAGAACTCTATTACATTGTTAGTGGGAATGGAAACTAGTATGGAAGTCACTGTGAAGATTCTTCAAAAAACTAAAAATAGAAATTCCATTTGACCCAGCTCTGGCTCTTCTAGGTATCTTCCCAAGAGTTAAAATCTTCATATTACGGGTATACATGCACACCCTTGTGTATAGCAGCACAATTTATAATGGATAAATTTTGGAGATAGCATATATGTCCATGAGCAGATGAATGGATAAGGAAAATGTGGTATTTATATACAATAGAGTACTATGCTGCTATAAAGACAGTCTTGTGCAACTTGAGAACATAATGTTAAGTGAAATAAGTCTGACACACAAGCTTAAATCTTGCAGAGTTTCTCTTATATGAGAAATGCAAAGAACAAAATGGAAGAGAGATAAATAGGGAAAAGAGAGAAGTTCAAATACTTCCCCAAATTACAAATTCCAGGGTTTTAAAAATATTTCAATATATATGCTAATTGGTTTCATTTATACTACTAGTTTATCTTAGTTTGTTGAAAAGAAAGATTTGTGTTATTATCTGTTTCTTTTTTGTAAGGATCTTTTTGGTTTATGTTTTATACTCTGAGTGATTACTTTGAAGATAATGATACACAATGTAATAACTTGTTATTCTCTTATTATTTGATCATGAAGTTTTGTTTTATTTTTTCATAAAAAAACAGGAGTGAAGTGGATTTCTTTTTTCTATTAACTGGAAAGTATCTTGTTTTGCTTTTAAATCTCTGGTCACTTTCACTTTCACTTTTCAGTGTTCAAAAAGACTTCATTCTAAATCATTTCTCTGTCCTTCCAGGAAGAACTCACGGACAGAATACACCAAGTCACACACATGAAAAGAGGAAACCACTGGATAGGCACTCAGAAATCATGTGACCAATGACTAAGTTAAATCTTTCCTACTTATTGAAAGGGAAGTGTCTGATGATTGTTTACTTATCCTCTTTACATTTTTAAATTTTTGAAACACTGAATCATGCTACCATTTATGCTCTTTTCTACCCTGTTTTCTCCCATATTTACTGAGCCTGAAGAGCCTCTCTGGATCTGCAGCTCCTCTGACGCAAATATTTCGTACACTTACTGTGGTAAGTAAAACAGCAACAACAAATAATTGTAGCATCAACTATTTTAAAGGTAAGTTTTCACAAAAATCTTACGCTGCTGTCCAGACCAGGAAATGCCTGCATGTGTTTCAGCTGCTACGGCTGCTGCTGTTGCCAGCCAGAAAAGAAACAGTCACTTCCCGGTGTGGATTTTAACACTTCACAGAGCTCACAAACCTCTAATCTGTGTTGTACCTGACTTCCAAGTGCTTTTTCTGTTCTCTGTGGTCCACTGTCTCTACCTGGAGCCTGGTTTCATCTTCTTCCCAGTTCCAGAAGAACTGTCTGCCTCTGCCTTGGCCCAGAGACTAACTGGTTCTCCTTCCTGAGAGGGTAGAACAGTTCTAGCTGTTTCCTGAAGGTGATTTTTTTGCTCCAGGCTGTGAATTTACTTCAAATCATGTCCCTAGTTGACCTGTCAGTTATTAGGTGTTTGATCTTGAGCAAAAGACCTCTCCATGCTTCAGCTCCAGTAGCTGCAAAATGAAAGTGATTTTAGAGCAAAATGAAAGCGATTTTTTAATGCAAGGATTGCTGTGTGGTAAAGTTTTTAACACAGGGTCACACAGAAATAATAAGATTATTTTTTTTAAAAACCAGCTATCCCCTAATGCTAATTGTATAGCGTAGCTCTACCTAATTGGTTTTATCACCCCCCCCCCCCATACGTCTTCTCATTAGCAAACCTCTGGGGTCTGAAGGCCCAGCTGTTCTTTAACTTTGGTACTTTCCACTATGTTGCTCACGATGGTGGCTGCCATTTTCGACTCACTACCCAGGTCAAGATGGTAGTGGTGCTTTCCACAATCCAGTCCTTTGAGATACTTTTGGGAAAAAAAGACTCATGGCCTAATCATCTGGGGGAGGTTTACAAATGTACTTTGAGAATTTCAAACTGCATTGAAAAAGTCTGTTTAGCCACAAAATTTTCAATTTTATTTATTTATTTTTCTCCAATTGTGTGTTGACTATTTTGAGAAACCCTGGCAAATGATAATACATAGTTACTTCTGGGGGAATAAGGATGATTGCCAGGTGTGAGAATGACACTTAAGTATGTGAACAATACCCACTGGCATCCTTTCTTCAGTTATGGATTATTCTGAATTCCTTTTCAATTTATTTCAGAATCTCTCCCTGCTATAGCCACCCCACCCCACCCCACCTCACCTCCAACCCCCAACCCCCATTTCCTTCTCCTCCTTTGGTCTTTTTTATTTTTTGGTACCGGGGATCGAACTCAGGACCCTGCGTTTGCAAGGCAGGCGGCAGAACCACTGAGCCAAACCCCCAGCCCTCCTCCTTTGGCCCTTTTGTATCACATGGTGTTTACACCACTCTTCACATAGTCTTTAGTAATAGAACATTTCATATTGTTACTTGGCTTTTAATCTTTTAGTAACCATACTTTGTTTTGCCTTTTGATGTGATTGTCCAAGGGAGGACCTTACTCTGCTTACTAGTGCTGAGAAATCCTTTAGTTCTTTCCAATCGGCCCTCACCAAAGTCCTGTAGGGAATAGTGGGTTACACTGGCTGCCATCCCCTTTGCTACATCATCCTTTCTCTTCCTAAGAGGATCCGTGGAGCCAGAAATACATCTACTGAGGGAAGCACTGATTCCCCTGGATAGTGTGATGTGAATGTTGGTGACAGTCCTCTTCCCCATTCAATCTCGACTGTAAGGATAATTTCTATGCAAAAGAAGAGGCCAATTACCAGTTGGGCAAATTCCTGGGTATATACAGTGTCTTAGCTCTGGCTGCTATAACAAAATGCCATCAACTGTGTGGCTTAAAAAAATTTATTTTCTCTCAGATCTGGAAGCTGTAAGTCTAAGATTTAAGTATTGGCATAGGCAGTTTCTCTTGAGGCATCTCTCCTTGGCTTGCTCATGTTGAAATTTAATTACCACTGTAAGAGTATTAAGAAATAGGCAACAAGAGCATCCTCTCTCACCTTCTCTTGTCCTCCCATGAGATGATGTGGCAAGAAGGCCCTTACCACATGCTGGCTCTTTGATCTTTGACTCCTTAGCTCCAGAGCTGTGAGAAATCAATTTTCCATTCCCAATGCTCAATGCATTATAGCAGGACAAAACAGGCACTTGCAGATGGCCACTTTCACTGTGTGTCCTCATGTAACCTTTCTTCTGTGTTTGGAGACCCTTGGTGTCTCTTTTAGTCAAATTTCCTCTTCTAAAGATACCAGTCAGCCAGCCTTGGTGCCACATGCTTGTAATCCCAGCTACTCTGGAGGATGAGGCAGGAGGATCATATGTTCAAAGATATCTTGGACAACTTACTGAGACTCTGTTTTTTAAAAAAAAAAAGAAAGAAAGAAAAGGGGGAGAGAGAGATAGAGAAGGAGGAGGAGGAGGGGGAGGAGGAGATAGGACTCAGACTGGATTAGGGCCCACCGTATGTCCTCATTTTGACTCAGTCATCTCTCTCAAGAGTCTATCTCAAAGTGCAGTCACATTCTGAAGCGGTGGAGGATAGAATTTTAACATATGAATGGGGTGGGGTTGGGTGTTTCAACATATAATCTTACTTGCTAAGTGTGTATGTGTCTTGGCATCTGGTGTATCCTCCCACCTCATGTATGTCAGCCTTCCGATTGTGTGTCTGCTTTTTTATTTTCTATGCTTTGATTCCTTTTCCTTTTGTGTAATTTTCAGGGTTTTTTTTGGTACGGGAGATCGAACTCAGGACCTTGCACCTGCAAATCAGGCTGTGGCACCACTGAGCTAAATCCCCGGCCCAATTTCCAGTTTTTTTTAGTTACCTTATGATATGTATTTTATAGTTTTGAAAGTCTGTTTTAAGTTGACAGCATCTTAAGTTTAATCATATACAAAAACTGTACACTTTAAGTATGTATGTACCTGCATACATACTTTATGTTATTGTTGTCATAATTTATCTGTTCATACTGTGCATCTTTCAACATATTTTTATTTATAGTATTTTAATACTTTTGTATATTAGCTTTTGTTTTTTGTGGTACTGGTGGTTGAACCCAGAGCCCCATGCATGCTAGGCAAGTAAGTGCTTTAACATTGAGCTATATCCCCAGCCTTTAAAAATTTTTAAAAAGAGGCATAAAGAGATTTATTAGGCAGAAGTTTAAAAGTACACGCTCAAAGAAAGAGAGTGTGGCCCTTCAAGAGAGAGAAGTGCGTCATCTCCTCAAACTGAGATTTATGTTTCTCTTGCAGTGGAATTTGTGAGCCTATAGGAAGTTCCATCTTGGGTAATGGTTTATAGGAAAAGGATGGCTCACCCACAGAAAGATTATGGCCCACTTTACAAGTTTAATTTGGGTCTAATGTTCACAAATGAAATTTGCCTGTGAATGGTTGGGTTTATAGGGGTAAATCTAGAACCTCCTACTCCACCATGTTACTGATACTATTCTCTGGGAAGATATTTGGGACCACTCTCAGTTGTTCTCATCATATAATTTTAATGCAAAAGCAATCTTTTAGGGTCTGATGTTCAGAACACTATACTTATTAGTGATTTATAACAATTTATTGATGTCTTTATTTCTTTTAGATAACAAGAAATTCCCTATTTCAATTAATATTATACCCTGTTTAACATTGAAGGGATCATCTGGGAGTCTGCATATTTTCTTCATACCAAGTAAGTACAGTTCTTGTTTTTGAAGATCAACTAAAGGGTTCAAGAAATATAAAAAAATAAATAATTGTATTCTAAATGTAATTTTTCTCTATTGGTATGCACCAAATTATGACAATATTAGTGGTTTAACTCAATACACACCTATTGCCTCATAATCTTTGTGGGTCAGTAGTCTGGGCATGGTTTACCAGTGCCAGCTTCAGGGCTTCCAATAGAGCTACAATCAAGGTGTTGAGCAGGACTAAACTCTCTGAAGGATAGAGAAGAATCTATTTCTTTCTTGTATGGTTTTCGGCAGTATTCAGTTCCTGGGTACTGGCTGTTGGCCATCCCTCAGTTCTTGCCGCATGGGCCTTTTCAACATAGCTTCATCAAAGCCAGGATGCAGGACAGTCAGGTAACAAAATGGAAGTAGCCTAATTGTGGAAGTGACACCCTATCACCTTTGCTGTAGTCTGTTGGTTAGAAGGAAGTCACTAGGTCTATTCATACACTTGGGAGGATTATACAAGGACATATGAGTAGAATTGGAAATCACATGAAACTTCTAACAACCTCACATGTACATCCTTTGTCAACCATTCAGCTGGTTAATAATATTTGGTTTCCACTAGTCAAAGATCTGTGTTTGAGCAAGCCAGAACCCTTTTTTCTCTTAAAGATTGCTGGTTTAGAGAAAAATATGGTGATGAGGGTTTTTTAAAAGGCAAGGTGGAATGTGCCTGCCTGGCAAGTGCAAGGTTCTGATGTTGATCACCTGGTATAAAAGAAGACGAAGACAAAGATGAAGAGGAAGAGGAAGAGGAAGAGGAAGAAAGGTGTTGTTCTGTGTTGTATCTTGTTTTTCTTCTGTATCGTTCATTATTTGTTGTCAGCATAGTAAAAACTAATGGACATAGTGGTAATTTTAGTGCATGTAAAAATATCAAACATTCATCCTCTCCTACGTGTCAGCCTTCGTTGCTTATTTCTTGTAAGTCCTGGTATCTCAGGAAACTAATTATAATCCTTGCCACCACCACCATCACCGCCACTATCATCATCATCATCTACATCTTAGCTTAGATTTGGAGCTTGTTTTATACTTTACAAAGTACTTTTATGTAAATGAGTTTAAAGAAACATTTGCCCCTTCATTCCTGATTTTACTTCTCCAGCTTATAAGAAGAAAAAGTAGCTGAGAACTCTGGGATAATAAACAATAAACTTGGGTTTTAATTTTTCTGAGTCTAATTGTTTAACTTGTATTTTGATACTTTATGTTGATTTATTCATTAAAAAAATACTTGGGGCTGTTGGTGTAGCTTGGTGTTAAGGTGCTTGCCTGACATGCTGGAAGCTCTGGGTTTAATGCCTAGCACTGAAAAAAAGTAGTCAAGTCTTAGTATATTTAAAGTATTGCGCTAGGCCCTGTCATTGCTAAGACATTCTCTTGATCTTTAAGAATCTATCAGTGCCATAGGAGAGATGGATCTGTAGATAACATAAATAAAATGATAGCAGTCAGGCAGAATGGTATTTCAGAACAAAGAATGATTAACTCTGTTTGCTTCACCTTCACCAAAAGTAAAAGAAACAGCCCAAATTTTTGTCAAGCTAAGGCCCTATAATTTCACCCTTTTCCCCAGGATTTGTTTTCTGAACTATTTGTTTAGATGCTTGTCATAAGTGATGATTTATATAATGAATACCAAATCTCGTACTTTCAGATGACTCCCTCACCCCCATAGGACGCAGGTTGTATTCTTCCAGGCCCAAACAATCAAACAATATGGCATTACTTAGGTTTCTCTGGGAGGCAGATACTAAGAAGGGATTAGATATGGTAGATTTTTATTGGGGGAAATGATTGTGAGAAATGAAGGAAAGAGGAAGCTGGAGGAGGCATAGAGATTGGATTGCAGTTCTGATACCTTTGAAAAGTGAAAGGGGGCAGGTACAGTGGCACCTGCTTGTACTGTCAGCTATTCAGGAGGCTGAGGCAAGAGACCTGCTTGAGCTCAGGAGTTTGAGATCAGTCTGGGCGACATAGCAAGACCCCATCTCCAAAAATTCCTGGCCAGCCAGACATGGTGGCACATGCCCATAATCCCAGTCTCTGGAAGGCTGAATAAGGATTACAAATTTAAGTTCAGCCAGGGTAACTTGGCAACTTATGACCGCACTTCAAAATAAAAAATAAAGAAAGGACTGGGAACATAGCTCAGTCTGAAGGCCTTGAGTTCAATCCCTAATACCACAAAAACAAAACAAAATAAAATGAAACAAAACCCAACAAACAACAAGAAAGAAGAAAGAAAGATGGCTAGAAAGCAAGAAGGAAAGAAAAGTGAAAGGGGAAAAAAGGAGAATTAGGTATGATAATCATTAGACCAAGATGCAGTGTTCTCAGCCAGTTTGGTGGTGAGCCCCAGAGCAAAGACTGCTTCACAGGAGCATCCTGGATAATCCTATAGAAGTGTGGCCTGTGGGTGAGGGCTGGCTGGATCTCAACCTCAACGTCTGCCAACTACCCTCCTCACAACAATTTCTTTCTTTTTTTTTTTTTTTTTGATACCAGGGATCGAACTCAGGACCTGAGCTAAAGCCCCAGCCCATGACAATTTCTTTTGAAGAGAAGTTTGAGTGGCACACCTCCATAGCTACCACCAAATACTTTAATCATTTACTAAATATGACATATAACAAATGACCATTAATTCACTAACGAAGTAGTCTTTTTTTTTTTTTTGTACCGGGGATTGAACTCGCTTGCAGAGCAGGCGGTGGCACCACTGAGCTAAATCTCCAGCCCTCATGAAGTAGTCATTTTAAAAGTAATGCTTTGCAGTTGAGACCTGAGTTTCCCTAGAATTTACTATAATGTCAGTATAAAGTGTGGGCCCATCTTCATAGAAATAAACCTTAGTTTTATGACCTCACTTCTATTTAAATTCTTTTTTTTGGTTACATATCTACATTTATCTTTCTAAAAATAATGCCAATCATATTTAATAACAACTAACAAACATTTCCACAGCTCTTATTTCATCATCTCATTGTCATTTTTTTCCCATTAAGATTATTGATACATTTTAGATATAAAATACAGTTACATTCATCATTGAGATCTTGTGACTTTACATGATATATCTTGGTTCTTATTTTTTTTCCCCTTCCCCTTGCCCTCCCTTCACCACTTCCACCCTTCTCTATTTGCAAAGAATTTGTTTCAATTTTTTCCTTTTCTCATATTTTTTCTTTTCCCTTCTTTCTTTTCCTCTACCCCTCCCACTTCCCCTACTCCTTTAGACCTTTTCTTTCTGTTAAATAATATCAATTATACATTTTTAAGATTACAATATCAAAATTTATTTATTTAAAAAATTCTTTTATTGATACATTTTAGGTATACAATACATTTACATTTCTCAATGGGAACTTGTACCTTTACATGATGTATCTTGGTTTTTCTTTTTTCCCCATTCCCTGCCCTCCCTTCACCCCCTCCACCATTCCCTATTTGCAAAGACTTTGTTTCAATATTTTTCCTTTTCTCATATTTTTTCTTTTCCCTTCTTTTCTTTCCCCTACCCCTCCCACTTCTCCTACTCCTTTATACCTTTTCTTTCT